CAACCCAAACCATTCTATGATTCTATCTATGGGCTTTGTGGCACAGCGTCTTACAGGTCATGGCTACCGTGGTGTGCCACCATAATATCTGGATGATGCTCATGTGGGCAGCAGGGTCTTCAGCTATGGTGGTGACCTCCAAGACACATGGGAAATCTTAGTGCCACTGCTCAGAAGCTGGGTGAGGAGGAGTTGGGTGGAGGAAATCCTCATTACAAAATGTGTGGGGCTGTAAGCCAGCACGAGCCACAGAAACCACAGGCCTGTGAGCTGTTACCAATCATGGAGCAGTGGAAGGTCCTCTTGCATATGATGATGTGCAGGGCTGGCTGCAAATGTGGGGGAGATGGACTGTGGGGGCAGAGCTCAGCAGGGATGGAGACCTCTCTGCTCAGGGAATGAAGAAAGGCTGCTCCAGCCGGGTCCAGCCCAGCAACGTCCTACTCAGAGCAGGACCATCCCCAGTGCTAGCTCAAAACCTTTCAAGGTTTTGTCCAACCAATCCTTGAAAGCTAAGGTGTAGACCCAAGGGAAAGAAGCTGTTTCCTAAGTGACATACTCATTAAGAAAATGCGATTGGTATGAAATCTCAGGGAGGGTTTTGCAACAGGAGAACAGTGCTGGGAAGCATATTGTTGTATTTGGCATGGGGGGACCCCTCTGGCATCTCCTAATTGCTGTGCATGCTTGGCTTCTTGGTCTCTTGTAATCCACACTGCTTGCTGAAGTGGCTATTTCAGTAATTTGGTCTGTCTCTGATGTCCCCAGGCATGGCCTGCAACGTCTTGCCTGTGTCTGTGTGCAATTGAGCCTGGTGAGAAGGCAGCCACTGTAATTCCTTCCTTCCTGCTGTCCTTCCGACCTTCCTTCCACACGCAGTTTGGAGGGGCTACAGACTAAAAGCACCTTAAAATGGTGAGAGAAGGCTCCGGGGAGACCTAATTGTGGCCTTCCAGTACCTAAAGGGGCCTACAGGCAAGATGGGGAGGGACTGTTTATCGGGGAGTGTAGTGACAGGACAAGGGGGAATGGGTTTAAACTAGAAGAGGGAAGATTGGGATTAGATATAAGGAAGAAATTCTCCCCTGTGAGGGCGGTGCTCACACCAGCTGCGATATCCCCCAGGTGCTGTGGAGAGGCAAGATGTGGCAGCTGCTGGTGGTCCTGTGCCTGGCCCAGGGGCTGGGTGACACCGTCCTGCTTGCTGGAGTGGTCCACAACAACCCCGAGCAGTTCATGAACATCGTAAGTGCCAGGAGGTCAAACCCACCCCCCGCTCCCCGCCACGGGACCCAGGCTTCCCCAGGGTGGTGTGCCCAAAATGCTCCCCAAGAGACCCACTGGGATCTCCCCATCCCTTACCCTGGGATCTGCCGGGGGACTTGGGGCACCAAGAGTGTCCTACACTTGCATGGGTGTCACTCACTTCATGCCCTCAGCTTGAGGTTGGCCTCTCCCTGGCCTTCCTCTAAAGTAGATGGACCTTCAGGTCTCATGTATGCAGAGGTGACACCAGAGAGGGTGGGTGACGAGAGTGGGTGTCATTGGGTCAGGTGTGGGGTGATGGACACCAGTGGGTCACTCTCTCCCTTTGGACTGTTGTCCCTGCAGAGCCAGAAGATCCGTTTCCATGGATATCCCAGTGAGGAGTACGATGTGCTGACGGAGGATGGCTACTTCCTCAGCCTCAACCGGATTCCCCACAGCAAGGGGGATGCGGGGCACTCAGGTGGGCTCAGTTTCACTGAGGGTGAAGCAGCCGTGACCCTGCTCAGAGGTGAGGTAGTGTGCAAGGGGAAGCCAGTGCAAATGTCCATGCCTTCAGACACAGTTTTGGCAGCTGGAAGAGGGATGAGAAGCTTTTGCCCAGCTGCCTTGAGCTGTCTCTGGGGATGCAGGAGCTCAGCATTGTGTTTCACTGCATCTGGGATAGGGCAGCGTGACTCAGCGAGCTCCAGTGGCTCCTTCCCTGGAGCAAACCTGGTCCAAGGTTTCCTGATATCTCAGGGCCAGGGGTGGCAAAAATCCTTCAAACACAAAAAGCACCAGCAGAGCCATGGAAATCATGGGAGAAGGGAATATTTAATATGCAGCCTGTGAAGTACCCAATTTTTCCTCTTTCAGGATCCAGGCCACCTGTGTTGATAGTGCATGGGTTCAGTTTAGATGGTGGTGACTGGGTGGACAACCTTCCCAACAGCAGCTTGGGCTTCATCCTCGCAGATGCGGGTTACGACGTCTGGATCGGAAACAGCCGGGGCAACAGCTGGTCCCGCCAGCACCTGAACCTTTCTGTTGACCAAGAGGAGTTTTGGGATTTCAGGTGAGGAGGCCACCAAGGATGGGGCTGGGATGCTGGGCTGCCAGCACCAACCACCTGACGTCCATGGGAGGCTGGGAGATGGGCCTCTCCTCCAGCTTCTCTCCTTGCTCCCCAGCTTCCACGAGATGGCCGTGTACGACCTCCCTGCCATGGTGGGCTTCATCCTAAGGCAAACCAGGCATGAGAAACTGTTCTACATCGGCCACGCTCAGGGCAACTCTCTGGGTGAGTGAGGAGGAGGAGGAGGAGGAGGAGCGGCATGCCGGGATGCCACGGGAGAGGGGCACCATTGTCTGTCCCAAACTGGAGACTGCTGGGGACAGGGCTGCGTTGGCCCATGGGGCCACTTTTCCAACCTGCTGCCTTGGCCCTTCTGCAGGGGAGAGGATTGCTGCGTCTTGCCAGCCGTCCTGCACTGCGCTCACATCCAGGAGCGTTTCATTTTGTTCAGACCCTGTGTCTCGCACAGGAGGTCTGGGATGAGCATTGTCGCTGTGGGGTGATGATTGCTGTGGTCTCTTGCTACTTTTCAGGTTTCATAGCGTTTTCGAGCATGCCACAGCTGGCTGAGAAAATCAAACTCTTCTTTGCACTGGCTCCTCTCTACACTTTTCATCATGTCAAAGGCCCCGTGTTAAAGCTAGCATTTTTACCAGATGCGGTGCTGAAGGTACGTGAGGTCTTTGTGTGTTATTACTACTGAAACCCAGGAGCTTTTGGCAACTCACGTCCCCTGCGTTGCCGCTGTGCACTGAGCCCACGCGTGTGGCAGACATTGGAGACACGTGTGGGCAGATGAGCAATCGCAAGATCCCAGGGATGTCCCTCTCCACCCAGTTGAGCACAACCAGATTTCACTGTTTAAAATATCCATATCTCTCTATCATTCCTATTTATGTTTTTGCTTATTGACCTCACCATACCCCAGTCCTGTAGCCCAGGAGGTGCTCAGAGCAGCCCCACACCACCTCCCTCCCACACTTTGCTCCAGCGGCTGGAGAAGGGCTGGAAGGGGAGCTGGCACTCTCCCTGAACATGGTCCACCTGAGGAGCATCTGTCAATGGAGATGGCAGAGGAGTGGTATGAGTCTGACCATCCTGGGCTGAGCTTTGGAAGCTGGTACCTGATGATGCACCGGGATGATGGGGACGACAGCATGGCATGGAAGGGATGGTGATGGTTCCATGCTGCTCTGAGAGTTGGGTGAGACTCAAGAGGCTGACTAGCCCAAATGTGTCAACAACCATATTGAGGAGTCACCTGTCAGCGCTGTCTGGAGACAAGCAGTTCTCATGGAGAGGGGATGTGTGTTGCAGGACCTGCCGTGACCTGTTTCCTTGCACCCTTGCAGGCAATATTTGGAACAAAGCAGCTGACTCTGGTGGGGAGGAAGGAGAGAGCCATCCTTGCAAAGACATGCAGCAACCTGCTAACAGCTGAAGTCTGTGAAAATGAGATCTTCCTTATTGGCGGGTACAACAAGAAGAACTTGAACGTGGTGAGTACATCCCTCTCTAGGTCACAGCCATCTCCAGTTTCCCTAGACCCCTGGAGATAGCTAATGATGTACAAAAATGAGTATAAAAAAACAAAATAAGGTGTGAAAAGCACTGTTCAAGGCAGCAGTCATTTGAAGATTTCTTTCAGTGGTGTTGGGGTGTTAAACCTAACGGAGGCTTCAGTAGGAGAGAATCACTTGTGGTCTTGTCTGCAAAGGAAAGGTAACTCCTGCCTCATTTACTGCTGACCTGCGACAACTTTACAGAAAAAAGAAAACCAAAAAAATGACTGGAGCAGTTGTGTTTCCATTTTAAATTGGCAGTTAACTGGTTTACCTTTAAAAGCTTCTCCTAGCTCTGATCAGAATAAAGCTGCTGGAGAATATAAAGTTCATATTACAGAATGATTTTTTTTTTTTTTATTTTTTTTTTTTGCCTAGACAGGTTTTCATCATTCCCAACTCACTTACATACTTTCTTTTTCCCATAGAGCCGACTGGATGTATACCTAGCTCATTTTCCAGACTATACATCAGTAAAAACTCTTCTCCACTGGGGACAGGTAGAGATTCTGATTTTATACTGACTGTAACCAATACCTTTTCTTTTAATCTGCGAATATGATATTTTACAATGCTGCTTCATTCACCCTGGAGACAGGTAAGGAGATAGAATCAGATAAAGCCAATAAAAGTTATTTTGAAGTTGAGACACCAAGGTGTCTCAAAAGCCACAGCTGCTAGCTACTGCTTCTGGCTGGCCAAGCAGAGCTACCCAGATGCCCGTCTCCATCCCAGGTAAGGACCCCATGTAGGTGTTTTTTGGACTCCCTCTTTGCTCTGGCCCACGGGACGGGCACCAGGGCTGTGCTGGGCAGAGAGCACTCGCCTGGACCCTGCTGCTGCCCTTTGCTTGCGATGGGGCTGATCCAGGGCACTACCCACACGGGGTTAAACCTTTGCCTCCATCTTTCAGACTGCCAAAACCGGGGACTTCAAGCAGTTTGACTACGGGGTGAAGAACCAGGAGAAGTACAACCAGGTAAATGGGCACTTGTGGAGAGACGAGCAGAGAATGAGGCTGGATAGGACCAGGATGGGGATGGCCTCCTCCAATGCCCAGCGTACCCCAACTCTGCTGGGATGCCAGGGGCAGCACACCCCATCCATTAGTGCTATTTGTGCCAGAGCCTGCGAATGACCAGAGTGTTTCCCCCTTCCCAGACCACTCCCCCCTTCTACAGGATAGAAGACATGACGGTGCCAACCGCCCTGTGGAGCGGCGGGGAGGACTGGGTGAACCCCCCACTGGAGACCCAGCGCTTGCTGCCCCGCATCACCAACCTCGTTCGTCACGAGCACTTCCCCGACTGGAACCACTTTGACCACCACTGGGGTCGGGACGCCCCTCAGCGCATGTACAGGCAGATTGTCGCTCTGATGGAGCAAAATCCATGAATGGTCCACACGCTGCCCCGGGAAGGAGGAGGAGGAACCACCCATTACCACGTGTCTGGGGACATGGGTTTTGCATGAGGGCTGCCAAACTGCTCCTGCCCGCTTAAAAATGTCTCCTTTCACCATATTCCACAGTGATTTAATGCCTTAAATGTAACGGTGTAATTTCTGCCTGCCCTCTGTGACTAGAGATTGCAATAAACTCTTGTATCATAGCCACACTCCAACCCTTTGCTTGGTGGGCATCGCCAGGGTTGTGTTTGTACCCCCACTGCCAGGGCAAGGTGTGCAGGAGGCCCTGCTTTGTTTTGGTTTTTAGCTTTTGTTGGCTCAGGGCATTGCAAGCACAAAATTTTACTCCAGAAATTGAGCATGTGCTTTGGGTTGTGAAGGAAGGGTGGAAAGTGACCTTGTCTGTGGCCCTGGAAAGGCTGGAGTGGGTGAGCACTGACTGCAGGAGAGGAACGTTCCTCCCAGTAGAATGAATCCGGAGATGCTGATGCACACCACGTGCCCGAGAGGTGGTGAAAGAGAAACATCTGGGCCTTGGCGTTAGGCTCCGTCTTTCCTGGGGGACAACCCACCCACATCATGTCCTGGGATATGCCTTATGGCAAAAACCCAGCTGTTTTCTAGGAAGTTGAATTTAACATGGTCCTCAGTGTTATCTAAGAATCACGCTCTGTTCTTAGCATGTATGTCTGAAAATGTCTATGTACCTACCTACCTATTCTATCTATCTATCTACCTATCTATCTATCTATCTATCCCTCTACCTACCTATTTATTCTATCCATCCATCCATCTGTCTGTCTGTCTATCTATCTATCTATGCATCCGTTCATCCATCCACCCATACATACCTCCAAGAGATGTGTGAAGTCTATCTAAGTTTAAGATGGGTGGGAAGAGCACCGTGAACAAAAGACAAGAGCTGAAAAGAGAATTTCATGGGGCTCGGGGCAAAGGACCCCCCACCCCAAAGCACTGATGATTTTGGTGAGACATTCCCAAGCTGCCTGCCCAACTCCACAATGCTGCACACCAGGTGCCCATGCAGAGATGGGACAAGAGGTGTGAAGAGGTGGTCTGAGCTCATGCTGTAGGTAAATAGCTCAGAAATGTCCTGTGTGACCCTGTCCCATGCAACCATGGGGGCAAAGTGGCTTTGCTGACATAGCAAGCAGCACAGGGGCACTGGGTTTCATGGAGGGGTGTTGCCAGCCCCCCTTGCCCTCTTGCTCCACTGTCCCATCTCCTTGGGACCCTTCAGCCTCAGGAATGGGGCGTGCTGTGGGAGGGACAGCTGTGGGGTCTGAGCGAGGGTCCATCAGTCCAGAGCCTCTGCTCGATCCTCCTGCATGAAGGCCACAGGAGCCAAGCCAGTGACGGTGGTGAAAAGATGGAGGTATGCTCCCAATTCAAGGTATTTCCCAGGGGAGAAGTGTTTGCCCCAGGTACGTTCCCATGTGGTCTGACTGGTGTCCATCGGATTAACCAGGGTGAAAAGCAAAGGTACAGGATGAAACTTCAAGCTTGCAGGATCTGTGAATGGAGCTGCCCATGTGTCTTATGGGATGCTGCTTTCATGGGCTGCTCCTGGGAAAGTAAAGGTTTGTTTTACAAGCACCGTACTCTGCTCCCCCGCCGCCCCCCTTCTTCCTCCTCCTTCCTCCCATGCCGACAGTGATGGATGGATTCACTGGGAGGGAAACCAAACTGCCCGTGGCCACAACCAGCCAAGGAGTCACTGGCCCTGGACAGGGTGCTCTGCAGAGCATCATCGTGCGTGACCATACTGCTGCAAGGATGTGGTTGTCACCAGGAAGGTGACAAAGCTGCATGTGCTGGCATGATGCAGGTTGGAAGGGCCCCACCTGCCCCTTGCAATGTCCCAGAGGGCAGAATGTGAAGGGGTGACCAGGAAGGGGCTTGTAATGCCCAGAGCTGGGATCCCCAAAATCCTGCATGGCTGCCCTGCGGCACAACCTTGGTGATGCCCACCAAGGGAGGAGTCAAACTGGGCTTCAGCATGGGAGTTTGTTACTTAAATAGTTCTGAAAAACAAGGGAAAGAAATATCACTGTGCATCAGGAAGAAGCTTGGAAGGTAAAACACCAGGGCACTCTGTAGTCACAGAAGGCAGAGAGAAATCACAAAACTGTGTTAGCTCACCAAATCAGTGTGAAACAGGGTGACAGGAGATGTTTCTAGTGAAGAGAGAGCAAGGTGACAGTCCTGGTACACAAGGCAGTCATCCACAGGACGTGGTAACGGGTGGATCCTCCACCCCAGGGCAGCATGTGGACCGTTCATGGATTTTGCTCCATCAGAGCGACAATCTGCCTGTACATGCACTGAGGGGCGTCCAAGCCCCAGATGTGATCCCAGTGGTTCCAGTCGGGGAAGTGCTCATGATAAACGAGGTTGGTGATGCGGGGGAGCAAGCACTGGGTCTCTTCAGTAGAGGTAACCCAGTCCTCCCCACCGCTCCACAGGGCAGTTGGCGCCGTCATGTCTTCTATCCTTTAAAAGGGTGGTGAAGTCTGGGGAAAAAAATCATCAGGTTATTCAAAGGAAGGTGAAATAGAAAGGTATCAGCTGGATTTAACCGTCAGAGCTGCTGAGAGTCCCAGGGTATTCACGTCCTGGGACATTCATTTAAGAAACATGAACAAATCTGACGTGGGGCAAATGTGTCCTGCAAGATCCCCATGGGACTTGTCCCACCAGGTGTGGACAAAAACCCAAAAGGCTGGGTCAGCACCAGCTGGCCAAAATGAGACTGAGGGGTTGAGTGTTCATGTAAGCCCCAGCCACCAAGGGGATTACAAGACACATGGCTGTAGGATGCACAGGATGCCTTCATCCCGGTCTTGGCCAACCTCATCCTCTTAGCACAAACAAGTCATCCCTTCATCCTCGCAAGCAAGAGGCACCCCTTGCTTACCTGGCTGTACTTCTCTTTGTTCTTCTCCCCATAGTCAAACTGCTTGAACTCCCCAGTTTTGGTAGTCTGAAAGGTGGAGGCAAAAGGTTAACCCTGTGCAGGTAGTCCCTTAGATCAGCCCCACCATGGGGGAAGTGCAGCTGCAGGGTCTCTGCCCCACCACAACCCTGATATCTGGGCTGGTGTTTGCAGCTGCCCATCCCTTGGACCTACAGCGGAGCAGCAAAGCAGTGGGGCAGCTGGCCCAGCTGGAGGCTCGGGCAAAGCAAATGGAGGATGCTTATTGTGTGGTCACCTGGGCTGTCTTTGAGCATATCTTGTTACTACCAAGGAGAGAGAAGGACTCATCCACTGTCCTGCAGTACTCTCTGAACAACCTCAACCACTTACAATGGACTGACAGAGTGCAAGTCACCTGGCTGGGTGGGGAGTTTCTCTTGGGCATTGTTTGGAAAATTAGCCCGTTAGGTCTTCTGAGAGCTGCCAGCACTGTGCAGCTTTTCAGCCATCCCTGGGGCAGTGTGACCATGCCTGCCAGCCAAGGAGGTGATGAGCTGTGGTTGAACTCTTCATAACCAGCAAGAAATGCAAGGTGCATCCACTCTCCTAGCCTCAAAATACCCGCCATGACCATTCAGACTTTGCTTGAAATTCAATTAAATTAATGATGTTACTCTCTGAAGGAAGGGACAATCCAATGAGGATTTATTCATGTGGACCTAGTGTAACTTCTGTCAGTCTAGGACTGTCCTCCTGGTTTCCCCCCTTGTTAGCCACCAAATTAGAGTCTTGCTGGCTTGCTCTTTCCCCAACTGTTTATGCTGAAATGTCTTCATCTTGGAGGAGGAAGCATACGGATGTTGGACAAATTCAGCTGAAAATATTGTCTTTTTCCATCACTCTTGGTTCACTTTGTGATTGGCAATGGACTGTCATGCGCTCTTGCAGCAGTGGTCTCAGCTTCTTCCATGACCACTTCCTCAGACCATTACTGAGGTGATACGTAGGTGTCTACAGAGCTGGGGGCTGGCTTGGCAGGGTGGGGGTTGCACCAGGGAACCAGCATGGTTCGTACATTCCCCAAGACTGGGATTTTGGTGCTCAGGGAGACCCTTTCAAGGGTGGGTTGTTTACAACAGGTAGAGGTGTCAACCAGTTGAATAAGCCCACACGTGGGGTGGAAGATGAGGCTGATGGCAGGGACCCCTGTGGCCTCCAAGAAAACACAGGGAGAGGGGACATTTCACCAATCCTGCCACCATGCCTATCCACATGGTGAATGGAGCAATGCGGCAGACCATCAACCCAGCCAACCCAGGAATGACCACTGGGTTATCAGGTGCAACAAACAGGAGAATCCCAGTGGAGGAGGATTTTAGTGGATGTGTAGTCCGGGAAATGCGATATGTACACATCTGTTCGGCTCTGCCAGCAAAAGAAAGTCCTACTGCAAATGATACTCAGGCAGGAGTTAACACTCGTTTCAGGCTAAAGTCAACAGCACTTGACTGTCATCCAGTCTGCTATCCATTTCCTTTGCCTAGGCTGCCCCAAAGCAGGATGCAGTGAACCTTACCCTGGGGAAACCACTGAGGAACAGCTTCAACATGATCTCTGGGCCTTGAGTGCCCCCCTGGCCTCCTGACTTCTCAGTCACAGACACGAATACCTTAGGGCACCTCATTGTAATTGGCAGCAGAAATCCCACTTTCATCTTAAGGTTGATCTGATGTCAACAGCAATACAAGGACCTTGCCACCTCAGAGCTTTGGTGTTGGTATCTATCTTGGCCTTCCACTAGTGTCCACTTCAAGACAATGCAAGTGAACAGCGCAACATACTCTCATGCCTATACATTCCTGCACTGTACATCCAGGTGGGTCTTACAAAGCTAAAACACCACACTGGAGTCAACAGAAGGTCAAAATGAGTTTTCCATTTTTGATGTCATGACCCGAGAGCAAGACAACTCTTCATAATTAGTTCGTGCAAACTTTCAGATTGGATTTATTTCTCATCATTTGTTTGAGCTACCAACAGAAATAATGGT